CTTCTGGAATCATATACTCCATACTTTAATACATTAATATCAATTATTGTATTTAGATATGATGATAAAGAATCATTTAAAAATGTAGTGAATTGGTATCAAGAAACACAAAGATATTCTAATTTACAATCAAACCATTATTTTATTGTAGGATGCCAATATAATGATACTGAAAAAATTATAAAAGATCAAGACGTTGAAAATTTATTAAATTATATTTCTAAACAAAAAGAAATTCAATATTTCAGAGTAACAGGAAGTAATTGGGATGATTTAATTAATAAATTCTTTTCTTTTGTTGATGATGTATGTAGAATTGAATTTTCTAAGGAATTCTTGTTTGTTATTAATTATATGTAAGTAAGAGTTTAAGACTAATGATTGTAGAGAGCATTGTGGTGATATCACGAAAAATAAAAACTATACACCTACTTTAGATAACACACAACATATTAATGATAGAAATCAACAATACCATTCATTTATTGTAGATGAAGAAAGTCCAAATATTGAAAGAGAAGAAGAAGCTGGGTCGTTGTTAGGAGGAGAGAGAAATGAAGAACCAATGGAATTTGAATACTCAACAGATTCATGTTGTTGCACTCTTCTTTAAATGCATTTTAATAATCAATTTTTTCGGGATTTTACTTTAAAAAAATAAAAGAAAATAATTAAAAAAAAAACTGATTAACGTTTTTTAAGGGAGAATGAGCAAACAATCCACTATCCTTCAATTCTTTAAGGCAACAACACAAATTAATGAAAATAAAAATGTAGAAGAAAAGAAGCCTAAACAACAAAAGAAGAAGAAGGTTGAAATTAAAAAAGGGATGGGACTTGATAGATTTTTTAGAATTACTACAGACATGTCACCAGCTGCAATTGAACGAAGAGAACGAATTAAACAACAAATGGCAGAACAATTAAAAAAATTAAATGCGGCTAAAGAAGAACAAATAAGAAAAATGAAAGAACAAAGAGAAATAAAAAAGAAAAAAAGAAAAGAAAATGAAGAAAGTACAGAAGAAGAAGAAAATGAGAGACGATATAGAAACATAACATATAATGAAAATGATTTTGGAATTGAAATATGTAAAAACGTGTATTTAGGATCAGCAGCAGCTGGAGCAAATATTGAATGGTTAGAAGAAGTTGGAATTAATTATATTATCAATTGTACACCTGACGTTATGTGTTTTTATAACAGTAAAGAAAATCCTGATTTTAATTTAAATGATTTTCCAGGAATTACAGAAAAGGAATATTTAAGAATTGCAATAAATGATGCAGACGATGAAGACATTTCTAAATTCTTTACTCAATCATTTGAATTTATCGAAAAAGCAATTGGACTTAATCAAAAAGTACTTGTTCATTGTTTATTAGGAAGAAGTCGTTCAGCAACAATAGTCACAGCATTTATAATGAAAAAGTACAAAATCAAATTAAATGATGTATTAGAATTATTTGAACTAAGACATTATGAAACAAATATTAACGATGGATTTACATCTCAATTATTACAATTACAAAGTAAATTATTTAATGAACCAATAAATATGAGAAGAACAAGAAGAATAACTTCACAAATTTCAGAACATTTAGATATTGTGAATAACATAATAAAT